GAGAATACCACCGTGAATGTTCTGCTTCTAAGCTTATCTGTGACTTCTATAAATTTCTCCTGCAGAGCAGCCTTCTCCTGCCCTTTCCTATGTCGTTGGTGCCAACATGCGCCACGACCACTGGATCCACCCCGGCTGGGGCCAAAAGCCTGTCCACTCGATTCGGAAGGTCCCCTACCTGGGCACCAGGCAGGCAAGACACCGTACGGGACCCTCTATCACGGGTGCACACATAACTATCCTAAAATTAAATACACATTCTCACACAAATTTTGTATTTTATTTTGTTACATTTGATAAGCAAGTATTTGTAATTTGTAACAAGACATTTTTGATGTATTTCTACCCATCTCTGATGACACTAAGTACTAACCATACTGCAGGACACACTGAACTAAACACACTGTATTCTCCACACTTCAGGCTACACTGCACTAACCACTCTGTATTCCTAACACTGTAGGACACACTGTACTCCTCACACTGCAGGGGAAAAGCACTGGCACTGTGTATGTGTAGCAGTCTGGAACACACTGATGTTACTGTACCTATCCTTGCTGAAGCAGTGTGCTGCTGACAGGAGCCACTGTGAAGCGATGACTGCTGCCCCGCAATAAAGATGACCAGCGAAGTGCAGGCTGACCTGCCATGGCCACTCCCCTTCTGAAGCAGCCACGCCCCCCACAATGCGCTGCAGCTTTGGGCCATCCCACATTCCAGTGACACGCTCCTGTCCTATACTTGGTTGACCACAAGCTGCAGGGAAGAAAATTTGGGAGTAAGTGGAGATCTGGAAAGGAGTAGACAGTGTATTCAGTGCATGTAACTGCGATTGGATGTGACCACAGATTAGCCCAGAGCTGTTATGACCAAGTTTGCGACAATAGTAGCTGTGTGTGTTACAAGTGTGTTATGAACCCAGACTATAAACATGGTGAAGAAACGCTGACTCACACCCCTGCCCCAGCGGGGGGTCACCACGGTCTGTGCCATTTAATTAAAAGTCCATCCAGCAAGGACCTATCATCCCTAGTGATCAAAGGAAGATCTGTGAGACCTGAAGTCTGGTAAATCATTGTAAGCAGAGAAGATGAAGGCAAAGTATTGAATGTGGTCTGCAGAGGCCGGGACAGACTGTGGGACTGGGGCCAGGCTGACTAAGACTGTGAAACACGCTGAGGTTTGAGCTCACCGCAGTCACTCTCATCGCTACCGTCCAGACAGTCATGGGCACCATCGCACTTGGCGTTCCTCTTCCGGATGCAGGCTCCGGTGTTGCACCTGAAGCGGATGTCTAAGCAGCTCGTCTCTGCCGGAAAGATGTGTGTGTGAGACACAAGATGCATGTTACATCTTACAGGAAGGCAGACACACAGAGCATAACCAGAGAAGGTGTTTCACCAGCTGTCCAAAGAATTCTGCAGGACCTGCCTTAAAAATCAAAATGAAGTCCTGCTCACCTGTTTCTTACAACCTGCTTACTATGACAGTGCAGTAATGCAGAGAAGTTTTTTTTACCCAGAGTGCAGTTTGTCTCATCCTGGCCATCCAGACAGTCCATCTCCCCATTACAGATGTAGATGGGGTGGAGGGGGGTGGGGCTCTCACAGTTTTTGGGAGGTTTCGCTAAAGAACAAGCAATTAAAGATGTACACAGAAAATTATTCAGGAACTGACTGGTCTGAATATAGTCTTAAGAAGTCTATAATAGGGAAAACCTGTTGGTCTCTGAACACAGAAGACATAGACACTTACTGCAGAAGACTTCATCACTTTCATCCAGGCAGTCATCCAGGCCATCGCAGCGACGCCAGGGCTCCACACAGAAACCTGTGCCACAGTGGAAGTGTCCCTCAGGACACGCTGTGACATAGAGGACATGCCCTTCAAAAGAGGTTAAGCGCATGTAGGACAGAAAACTTTATCACTCCACTTAAAGGGTGGAGTGAAAAGAATTAAACAAATCAGAGAGGCATGAGCCACGGAAACTAAATAATAATTATACAGCAAATGGATTCTATGCGCAATACATATGCACACTCTCAGTGAATATACATAATTTACCCTGAGCATCACATTGAAATGAGCCATTTCCAGGCTACTGGTTTGCGGCGAACTAAATGTTCATACTGACTGCCAGAACCACAGTCAGACAGACACAGAGAGCACATGTTCTCCTTTAATGTGATAGCTGTCTTTGCGCAAAATTTAGCACAAATTCACACTACACAAACAACAGAGTTTATGGGGAAAATGGAGTTAAGGGAAAAACATTCAAAAACTTTGTAAGTAACACACAGAAAGACACAGAAAGACAGGAATTGGAAAATAACTATAGCATAGTGTTATAAATAATAGGTAATAAATAGATAAATCCTACAATAAATATGGCACTTTGCATTATCCTCTCATTCTGTTCAAAACACTTTGATACTCCAAGTTTCTCTTCAATACTTAAAACTTTCCTTTTGCATTCACTGCTTGGCTTTTTGAACCAGGACGCTTAGACATTTCTTGCGATTGTTAAATGAGCCTTTCTTTAATTGTAAAAGTTAACAAAATGTGGCGTAACAGCAAAACATGCAGGTTGTAGATTAGCACTCAGTGAGCTGGTGCAGTAATTGGCTGTCTATGGAAAGCCGTTTGAGCATTTATTCTGATATCCGTGATATCAAACCCACTTTGCTCTACTAGTTCGAACTTTGGCCGTACTAGTAAGACATCCTCAGCGATCATGCCATCTACAGACAGAGACACTGCGCTCTCTTTCTCTCTGCAGTCCAGTCTGCGGAGAGACGTCAGCCTCATTTATGGTAGAAACGGGAGAAAGAGTCCTTGATCAGTGGTCTAAACTCAGTGAGGGCGCAGTAAAACGGGCACATAAAACAAAATATTACCCAACGCAAGGACCCGATGCATTATATATTGGATTATTTTATTCACTATCAAAAGTCGGGTCTAAAGCTGCCTTTAGATACAGTTTGGTCTAATGAATCACACCACCACAAAAGGCTGTCGACATGTACGCACAGAACGTTAACAAGTAAGTGCTAAACTGCCATACACGTTAACAAGTGAAGTTATTAGCTCTTTACTTGTTACCGTGCATGTCGACTAGTGCACTTCAACTAGTTATCTAGTGTTCATTTTGTCCTTCACTAGTGTAACTAGTAAGGGCAAATAGACTCTTACTAGTGTCACTAGTGGACAATTGCCCCTTACTAGTCACACTAGTGAGGTCAAAACACCCTCACTAGTGCAACTAGTGGACATTTTGACTTTTACTAGTGTCACTAGTGGACATTTTGGCCTTTACTAGTGTCACTAGTGGACATTTTGGCCTATACTAGTGCTACTAGTAAGCATTTTAAACCTTATTAGTTAACTAGTGCAGCAAATTTCAGGCCCACACATTAACAAGTTGATGAAAAAGCTTGACAAGTAAGCATTTTTGCAGTACTAGTACCACCTAGTCGCGTACTAGTGCACCAGGATGTCTTACTAGTACGGCCAAAGTCTGAACTAGTAGAGTAAAGTGGGCTTGATATCATGGATATCAGAATAAATGCTCAAACGGCTTTCCACAGCTGCCAGGCGTGTGTTCCATGCGCTCCTATGTGGGTCGGTTCAGCTGGGTGCTGTTTTTTGCGATCACCTCACGGACGAAATCAACATATCAATCATAAACAAAGGCAAACACTGCAGTATACTGTAATTGTTTTTATGAAACAATTTGGAGCAAATTTTTAAAGCACGTGCTGTAGGAGGACATACTGTACTCAAGATGTCAGATTGTTATTATTATTATAATACTTCAAAACTAAATTTGTTATTGGAAAGATACATTTAAAGCTCCCCTCTTGGCTTTTGGCATTTACATGATGTGATCACCAATCTTGAGCATCAGAAAGAACATTCTTTGGCGGGGGGTGGCGGAAGGCAGTGCATTATACGGACAGCAGTTTTTTTCTTACGCTGACTGATTGTGAAGCTGCCGTAATCGGCTTTGAAAGGGAGGTCAGAGCGCTGGGAACTGCAGAGGAACAACACCTCAGCATTCGGCGATGCAATATGGAAGATGGTGGGATGGTCAATGTAGCTGCCACAGTATCTACCAAGGAAATAAGAAATACATAAAGGTATAAAGGCCACTCTAGGCATTATTGTGAGTAGTCGAGTGGACAGCAACACTATAACCTCCTTAACATGCCACACAGAGATTACAGAAAAGCCACATATCTTCCCTGGGGCTGATTCCTTGTTTATGCAGTGGTTTGGCAGATACTGAGCCTAGCATTCCCTCTACATGCTTCATAATCCTGCTGTAATTAGTGTATCCCTGTACTGCAAAAAGATTCTACAGTGCTGTTCACTTGCCCTAAAATGGAGCAGCTTGTCCATGATGCACTTCTCTATACCAAGTGGATTGTAATAAAATATGGCAAAAACTGTTACAAATGAGTAGTGGAGCAAAAATTTCCCAACATGCTAAAGATTAAAATGTTTTAGCACCATGTTAAAATCCGGGCGGATTGGCATAACCCCAACCCCATGTTATCTCCTACTCACTTTGATCATACGCTTGATCAGTGACTATGATCTTTCCCTAACCCTAACACACCCAAACACACCTACATGATCTCGTTCACCTTCCACCAGCCATGGTCACAAGCCTTCAAGTCCTTCAGTTTTAGAACATAGTTGTGGAACTTCAAGGCCACACCTAAACTGTCATGTGGAGTCTACAAAAATGAAAAGAAGTTACAATCATTACAAGCCTTCAAGTCCTTCAGTTATAGAACATAGTTGTGGAACATCAAGGCCACACCTAAACTGTCATGTGGAGTCTACAAAAATGAAAAGAAGTTACAATCATTATCCATTTGTCTGATACCTGGACCTGTCTGGTCAATGGCCCCTATATGATGATGAGTGTGATACCAGGACCTGCTAGGTCAATGGCCCCTAGATGATGATGAGTGTGATACCAGGACCTGCCGAGTCAATGGCCCCTATATGATGATGTGTATGATACCAGGGCCTGCTAGATCAATGGCCCCTAGATGATGATGCGTGTGATACCAGGACCTGCTAGATCAATGGCCCCTAGATGATGATGCGTGTGATACCAGGACCTGCCAAGTCAATGACTCCATCCTCATCAATGGTGAGGAAGCTACTCAGGAAGTTGATGATAAGAAGGCCTATGATGTCATCTATTTAGATTTCCAAAAGGCTTTTGATGTTGTTCCCCACAAGAGGCTCTCACTTAAACTCAAAGCGACAGGTATTTTAGGAACTGTAGCGACTTGGATTGATAACTGGTTAACGGATAGGAAGCAGCGAGTAGTTATAAGAGGCTCGATGTCACAGTGGGCCTGCGTTCATAGTGGGGTACCGCAGGGTTCAATTTTAGGACCACTTTTGTTCCTAATTTACATAAATGATATAGACACCAATATATACAGTAAACTGGTGAAATTTGCAGATGACACCAAGGTGGGTGGTGTAGCAGATACTGAACTAGCGGCTCAGCAGCTACAGCGGGATCTTAATTTAATTAGTGACTGGGCTGACACCTGGCAGATGAAATTTAACATAGACAAATGTAAGGTACTCCATGTAGGGAGCAGAAATATAAAGTACAGGTATTTTATGGGACCTACTGAAATAAAGGTAGCTGATTATGAGAAAGACCTTGGTGTGTATGTTGATGCTTCCATGTCTCATTCTCGCCAGTGTGGGGAAGCAATAAAAAAGGCCAATAGGATGTTGGGGTATATCTCCAGGTGTGTGGAGTTTAAGTCAAGGGAGGTAATGCTAAGATTATACATTCCTTGGTGAGACCTCACCTAGAATATTGTGTACAGGTTTGGTCACCATATCTTAAAAAGGACATAGCGGCCTTAGAAAAGGTGCAGCGTAGGGCCACAAGAATGATTCCTGGTCTTAGAGGAATGTCATACGAGGAAAGGTTATTTGAGCTAAATCTGTTCAGCCTCAAGCAAAGGAGACTGAGGGGGGACATGATCCAGGTCTATAAGATTCTAACAGGTTTGGATGCTGTTCAACCGAATAGTTACTTCAGCATTAGTTCAAATACAAGAACTCGTGGCCATAGGTGGAAATTAGCGGGAGAACAATTCAAACTGGATTTAAGGAAGCACTTCTTTACACAGCGTGTAGTCAGAGTATGGAATAGTCTTCCTGATAACGTAGTGCAAGCTGAATCCTTGGGTTCCTTTAAATCAGAGCTAGATAAGATTTTAACAACTCTGAGCTATTAGTTAAGTTCTCCCCAAGCGAGCTCGATGGGCCGAATGGCCTCCTCTCGTTTGTATAGTTCTTATGTTCTTATGTTCTTATGTTCTAATGGCCCCTAGATGATGATGCATGTGATACCAGGACCTGCTAGATCAATGGCCCCTAGATGATGATGTGTGTGATACCAGGACCTGCCAAGTCAATGGCCCCTATATGATGATGTGTGTGATACCAGGGCCTGCTAGATAATGGCCCCTAGATGATGATGCGTGTGATACCTGGAAGTGCCATGTGCATGTGCAGGATGGTGGGAGCAGGCTGGGGAAGAAAGGGCTGCTGATTGCCCCAGTAAAAGCAGCCTCTCTCTGCATCTCTATCGTAGCAAAGCATGCTAGGAGGAAAAATAGGTTACTGTAAGACATATCATGAGGGAAGCATTATATACTCAATGAGACATACAGGGCCGGAAACATGAGGCATTACGCTCTTCAGGAATGGCCTGGAAGGTTCCGCGAAAGCTCTTATTGCCCTGGGTCATTCTGAAGGACAGCAGCATAACGTTCCCCGTGGAGATGAGTAGGATGGCTTCAGACACGGGCTCACAGAGCCTGGCGGCAGCAGAGCAAACGTACACCTGCAGAAATGTCTGTCTGCTGCTTGAAATGTAGCTCAGTCACAGTAGTGATAACATATCACATGCATAACACGCATTTATATAAGTAAATCTGTAAATCTGCAAGTATGAATGAGGCAGGTGTGCCCCCCTCCCCCCACCTATAGAGCATGCGGCTTCGGATTGGGAGCAGCGCATCATACACGGTTACGCTGTCCCCTGCACAGCCACTGGGCTCGATGCGGAAGGCCAACATGCTGAGGCGGATGAGGCAGCCAGCAGCCGCTGTCAGCTTCACGTGACAGCTTAGGCCCCCCCAGGACGAGAAGACGTTCAGGGGCACGGAGATCCCTGGCAGGCCGGCATACAGCTTGTCCACACACTTAGAGTCTGAAGTGAAAAAAATCATGAGCAGCACATCCTAACCACCGAAGAGCTGGCGGCCCTGACCTGCTCCCAGCAAAACATCTGTAAGAGGCACAGCTTACCTGTCGCAGTGCCGGAATAGTCTGAGCGCATGGCAGCTGAACCCGGGCAGAGAAGCAAATGAGTGATCAGGGCACCTCAATCGGCACAGCCTAAGTTCAGAAAACCACTAATAACACCTGCAACTGCCTACAGCCACACCCGCCTATGGCTACCAAGCACATCTGTAAAGGCAATGAGATCTTCATTATGATTCCTGTACCATTGATGAGGATGGAGTCAATATCCACTGGTAAGCTGAGCAGGAACCCAATGGAAGAGCGGTTTGTCAGGCTGGTGAGCACAGAATCGCGTAGGACGGCACCAACACATTCCTCACACATGGCTAGGCTTCTCTGCTGTGGGGCCGCAAACACCAGCCAAAAGTAGACCAGGAGACCACCCTTGTTGGTGTTGCTGTGAGGGCACACATAGACATAATCTCACAAACAGAGGAGCGATTCTTTGTCATGAAATATACCATATTTACCTTCCTGTTTATAATGTATATAATTTAATTACATTTTATAATGTATATAACTTAATGTATATAAAATGATATCATTCAAATCATAGAATTTACCATGAATGAAAGCAAATGAATGAGAAATGCACGAGTACCTCAGGTCTGATATGGCAGAATGCCGGTAGAGTTTGGCCACAGGCGAGGCTCTGTACACACTGCTCACCTAAAAGGCATAAGAAGAAAGACATTTTTGAGTTTTTTCATCTCTAACACAACTGCCTCATCCACTTTGAATGGAGGCAAGGCGGGTGATTCCTGTTTTGGGCCACATATTCATGTCCTCGTGTTTAACTGGCTCTTATTCTTTTATAAAATTAGACAAATCTTTATAACAAACCTATTTTATTATATGTTTAGGTGTTTTCTATTGCTTTAACAAAGATAAATTATTATTTAAATTTTTTTTACATCTCTTTAAAGCACCATTTCTCTGGAATATGCGCTCATTTTAGCATGTCCCAAATGCAAAGTATTCAACTTCCTCAGTAAATATAAACTATAAAATTATAAAAACCAAAACTTATTCTTTATTATTTTGATAGACTAGGGTATACTACCTTTAGAGAAAGAAACAAATCTGATTAAACTTATTTTGTTTTCTGTAATTATATAATATATTATATGTCCCTGCATTTGTTTTCCACCCTGTTAGCCTCTAGTTTCTAGGCTCCCTAAAAAGATTACAAATCCATACAGCCATTTCCACGAAGTGACATCATTTGTTTTTGGGGGGAAATTCAACTGGAAGACTAAGGTAAGCTTTAACTATCACTCTCTCCTGTATTTTTCTCAATTTTATATTACACACCAGTTTGAGGCACCATTAAAGTTCCACCCTGTTAGTATATATTATGGGAAATATTTATTGGAAAAAATATTTTTAAAAACATGTTAAAAATAGCTATTTAAATGCTGATCAGCTGTAGAGTGTGTGCTAGCTAAATGTTGCTCAGTCAAAGAGCTAGAGCTAAATTAGCTAGAAATATTCCACCCTGTTAGGCTATTTATGGGATATGCAGCCTACTGAGTAGAAATTGTACAAGAATATTTATTATTTTCATTAAAATGACTTGTAGATTTATTATTTGAATGTATTTCTTGTGTATGATAATGAATAATAATGGTATAATCAAAAAGTATTATTATTATTATTATATGAGTGTATTTCTTAATTATTTATGTTACTACAGTGGTATTATTATTATTATTATTATTATTATTAGTTGTTGTAGTAGTAGTATTGTTGTTGTGAATCTGAATGTACTTCTTAAGAGGCCTACTTGGTTCCACCCTGTTATATTCTATTCCACCCTGTTAGGCAATGATTTAAAAAAAAATTCTAATCACAACAGTAAGTGTTTGGTATATTTGTATATTGTTTTGTTAAATGAGGTAAATTCTACATATACTTTTATTTCTAATTAATCAAATTCCTCAACAAAATGGGGACAAATAATGCACAGATTCCCTCATTCTGACATTGTACTATTCATAAAATTAAAACTGTAAATGCTACAACAATTAAACTTTTATCATAGCAAAAGGGACACATTGTATCCCAGAAAAGTTCAGTATTGCTTGTACATTATTTAAACTCTGTGATTACCATGTACATGTCCCTAACAGGGTAGAAAACGTCTGAAGAAATATTTACAAAAAACATCCCACAATTATAATATTTTCAACCCCTGAGCTTGGCAAACATGCATTCCTCATAGCTAAGTATGGTATAGTCCTGACAAAATGTTTAAACCATAAAATACAATCATTCCAATTTTCAGAAAACAGCCAGCCAAATACTGTATGTGGTCCAAAACAGGAATCACCCATACAGCCAAAAGTGAATGTATGAGTGGACAAATAAGAACAGTGAGAAGCAGAGGGAGACAGTCTGTGCACCGCATATGAGGTATCCGGTGAGCATGTGTGTAGAAGGACGCACTATGTGTTGGATCCTGCTTGCCATGGACAGGAACTCGCTGGACTCTGCATGCCGGTATTCTGGCAGGAATTCCACATCAGCAATACGAAACATCCCCGCAAAGTACATGCTGTTGCTGTTCTCCAGTCGAACTACAATCCAAAAAGAGACAAGCACTGAAAGGCATGTGGTATTAACATGGTATGCACAGGTTAGTCACCCGGTATTCACACAGAATGGTATACACACAGAATTTACATGGTATCCAGATATGCACACCATATTTAAAAGGTATGCCCACACGCCTAATTTTACATCAAGTGCAGTACCTTTTACAGCAGCTTCACAAACACACCAAACATTCCAAACCCTTTCATTTCTTTTTTACATCAGACAAACAGACACAAATTCAGGGTAGCCTTATTCGGATGTACCCTCAGTGTGTGACCGTGTGAATTGATGACGTGTGCCTCCATGGTGATTCTGCCTGACAAACTGCAATTCCTGCAATCACTGCAATATCACAAGGCTATGCAAGTGCTAAAAATGAATGCATGGCCAAATCCTCTGATAATTCGTATGCTTAAGTAATAGGTTTTCTAATTTTGTACAATCAGCATTTTCACTTTTCGATTTCTCCAAACTACTTTAGGCAGAAATTCTGCAAACCCTGTGCTTGGATCAGTAAGGCTGATTCCATGAGATCTTATTCTAATAAGGGAAGGGCCTGACATTACATATATTATAAAATCTATTATTCCAGTTCCCATTGCTAACTTTTCCCCCCAGGTTCCAGTAACCAGAAGCACTATTTGCATGAATTTAAAATTTAATAACTGCAATAAATTGATTGTTAAGAAAGTGATGCTGCTGTATGATGTTTATATTGAATGAAGTCACTCTGATTCCCTGCACAAGCTTCTTCACTTTTTACCAAAACCAGCTGTTCCCATTTTGCTACTATATCTATGACAGTCTGTATCATTAATATAGATCCTGATTTTCATGCTGGACTCACATAAAAAGACCCAGAGCAGCGACCACATGATCAGCACCACAACAAAAATCACCACCGTCAGAAGGATAGTGAGATTCTGCAAGTTCCAGTAAGGGCTCTTTTTCCTCTTTTTCTTCTTTCCTTTTCGTCTCGTCCGACTGTACTTTTTGCAGAGTTTGTTCAATGTGGCGTCGACAGTTGCCAGTTCCACAGTAATATCAGAGACCTACGTCAGCCGAAAACACAGAAAAGACAAAGGAGGGCAATTAGTTTAAAGCTCACATTCCTTTGCTAATACAGTGTACATAGTACGAGTTAGGCTTTGGCCACAAAACGTTCTATTGCCCGATTACTACGTTTTAGAATACAGACTTAGATGTTGCCTAATAACTAATTTGAAGATTGACACAAGGGGTTTTCAATGTTTCTCCCAATGATAATACACAAGAGCTAGGCACTCCCTACCTACCGCCAATTTGTCATGTGAAACATGCAACAAACTTCACTATCAAGCCTCAGTGTTACACTAATATATGATTGTACTGACATCTAGTGTTAATTTGTAATGTTACACATCGTCTTACTATGAGACAAATTATGTGTGGCTTTTGTAGAATGAAAATCACATTATAAACACATCAAAGAACAGAACATTCCTTGGATTTAACCTATAGAGTTACACACTTACAATTCAGGTAAGATACAAAGTATTCAGGGGAGAAATGTATAATTTAATATAATATATAATTTGCTTTGACTTTAACTGTACTCAGGTCAATTTAAGTATTTGTATTGTACTGTATCCCCATTGGCCGTCGATGAATTGGAGATCATTGAGTTACGGATCACATGAATAATGTATTTTGTGTCATTTCATCCCCTGAGCGGTACTTAATCCACCCTGTGAGATAAAGACTATAGATTCTGCCTGTAACAGTAGGACAGAGATAATGCAACCTGCGTTCACTCTAAAGACGCTGAACCATAGCCACACCAGGAACTTTCCAAAACCTACTAAACAATGCTGAAAGTAAAGATGCAAATCCATTGTTTAATGTCTAGCAATATAACTACCCCACATGATAATGAAGGATGAAAATACCATGTTTAATAAAATGACAGATTATTCTAAGCGCGTCGAGACAGGATCTCGCACTTACGCTCGCTTCGTCGGCTTGAGGCGTTTTTTTCTGGCTGCCCTTGGACTCCATGATAAACCAACATCGTCCACGTTCAGTTCATGTTCAAGGTTCCGAGCGGAAAAAACCGCGATCAAAGCTGAGCCGAGGACGACGTGCACATCCCGAGAGATCTGCTAGGGAGGGTCGAGTTTAATACCTACACCAGCTCACAGGTCTTGAGAAGGTATCTCTGAGCCTGCAGTGTGTAACTGGATCTGTAGAGGGTTAGAGGTTTCGAGATGCCGGTTCATTCGAAAGGCTATAGGATGTACACCTCCTTGAACAAAACTTCTTTGGTCTTTTTCTTCCTTATTGTTCCCTAAAGTGAGAGGTTGGTCACTTAGAGAGCAATATTTTAATGTGAAAGTCAACCATAACCATGCAAAAATACTGCCTGGAAGTTATGTTACTCATATTCTCAGTCCATTTCCAACCCACTTTAAATATTCATCTCTCTCCCCTTTGGGATCACAACACGCAACTTCTGATCAAACAGAAAAAAATAGCAGACTTAATTTGCACATTAGTTTATTCTGTATAAATGAGGAGAATCCTGTCACAAATGAGAAATTTACAAGGATCAAGCCTTAAATTATCAAATAAAACAAATGTACGGTATATGTAAATCATAGCGGAGCATATTGCTTCTCTGGACTGCACATACTGGATCCTGCACTGACAAGCTGCCCTGCTACCACTGGTCCAGTATACAGTGTACTAAGCACATGACAGTCACATCACAGTCTGCTAATGTTAATTGTAGCTCCTAACTGGTCACTTTCTGTGTCAGTGAAGTCACTTCCTAAGGTGTCTGTGCTTGGTGATGCTGTCCCATAGGTGGAATGGCTTGTGCATGGGCTCTGCCAGTGAGATCACTCGCTGCTGGGGAAGCCTGGTTGGCACGGGAACATGACACTGGTGAAGGGGGTGAAGAGGTTGATGAGGAGGTACCAAAGCACAACTGGCAAAGCCCACATCTGTAACACAAAGTAATCCAAAGACTCAGATTTATTTGCCAAGTAGACTCTGGCTACATGGATATTTTACACATACACACACACACACACACACGCATGCAAATGTAGGGTAAAAATATCCTTATGGGGACCGCTCATTCATTTCAATGGGAAAAATGCTAACACTAACTATGACAACCTTAACCCCTACCCTGCCCTAACCATAACCATAAGTAACCTAACAAAATACAAGAGTTTTTGCATTTTTAGTTTTTTCATAGCAGTCACCGATATTTATAAAAAATAGAGTTTTCCCTTATGGGGACCGGGAAACCGGTCCCCA